AAAGTATGAATTAAAATGATTAGAAATATTAGGAACGGTACACAATATAAAACTTAGTAACTTTTTTTAAGTTTATAATATTCGACATATTTTAAGATTATATTAAAAAATTATTGAAATATCGAAAACACATAAAAACATGGCTTAAAAAAGTTCTAACAAATGAAAATGACAATAAAACATCCACGCATTTTATCGAAAGTTATAAAAGTTTTGTTACTTGTAGTATGTTTTATCTGCCCCCTGGAATTAATGTTTAGAACATTGTTCCCAAGGTTTGAAAACATCCGGATTGTTGTCTATTACTCGTATTAACCTGCTGGATTTTTTAATCTGGTGGACAGTCCATCTAGAAAGGCCCTCCTGGATGAAGTTACAGAATCATCAACCCATACTTTACTTGTAGTGTGTCCTGCGTTTACCCACGTTTCATCAAGGTAATAAATCTTCCTGTTTTGATTTCTATATTCCCCAATTTTTGTTAAATAATCCCTCCTCCATAGCACAATTTCTTCTCTATCCAGTAGTAAAATATTACGACCCCGTTTTTTCCATTTGAAATTTAAATGCTTCAGTAACGCATGGAAAGTTGATCGTTTGAAATTTGGCAACGTTGTATCTCCATTTACCTCCTGCAGTACTTTATCTATAGTAGGTATTTCATTCCTAAAGAAGAATTCATGCACTTTCCTACTAATCGCATGCTTATCAGCTTCATCCAATGATTTAACAATACTTTTGCGATGTTTACTGGTCATTGGCTCAGGAAAGGTGTGATTTTTTTTTGTATTGTCTTAACACATTAAACACTGATGCGCGACACACCCCAACTTTGTGAGAAACCTTCACAACAATTTCTTTGATGGTTGATGCCTCGTTCTCCTCGCGCTCGATCTTATATATATTCAAAATGACCTCTTTCATTTGTGCACTCAGGTGTCTTTTTTTAGAGCGTTTCCTAGGTGGACTACAGGAGTTTACTACTTCATCGGCAGTATCTGTACTACTGGGCATTTTGCGCAAGCAGTTGATAACAATAACAATCAATAACAAGGTATAACAATAACAACGACGAACTCAACAACTTAATAAGATAACAAACGAAAACGTCCAAAGAAATATCAAATTGCAATGATGCACACGACATACGTAACACGTCTGAACCTGAATGTGACTCTGCCTTGATACGACTGCTCTGCCGCTCGGCATAGGCATTTACTTGCGAATTGACCAGTGAGGGCTCCTGTTTTACGTCGAGACGGCGGCGTTAGCGTGAAAATCACCCGAACCTTTTGTTTACATCCGGTCTATCTCTTATCTGAATATACTGTAGGAATGCGTACTTCGCTGAAAACACATCGGCCATGATGTGACGTCATACGAATTGTAAATAAAGAGGGTCTAGCGTTGCCTATAAATATTTCTAAGAAAAAACTCGCTAATCAATGTAAAAAGTTACCGTTTCGTCTTTATATTGAAATAACAATCGTGACAGAGAAAAATTTTCCAGCCCGTGAACTAAACAGGAAAAAGTTTTCCAAACAATTCTAATCTGAAAATTCATAGAAAGAAATGGCGACTATGGAGAAAGAATAGCTGAAAGATCAACGTTTCCAATCTCGAATTCCTTTTACAAATAAATAATTCCTTGTGCTTGAAAAAATGTGGGAACCTTATTTTCGAAACAGCCCTCGTACATTTGAATCAAGCTTTTAAAATTTTTCTGCAAAAAAATGAAAACGAAATATTGAGTATGAAAATGCTTTATTTAGAGACTAGATACGATGCTTGTTCACCGAAATACAGCCTGTCACAAATCACCACAAAAATTTTGAGTTTTTTCTTGTTACCTTATTTTTTTTTGAGCAGATTTAGGCGACTTTTTCCATCAAAAAAAAAAAATACTCAAATTCCCCGGTAGTATGAGTTGCTCAAGCCTTATAGCTTTTCGATCTCGAACGGTAAACATGCGAAGGCGAACTCAGTTCAAAAAGTTGATGAACTTGAGAGAGTGAGTGCACTTGACTTGATTTTACTTCACAGGTAAACTCGTTAATTAATTCACGTTCAATTCATGGAATTAGCGGCTGTTACTTCCAGCAAACTTGAGATCCTGGAAAGTTGGAAAACTTCGACCCATTGGCGGTATCGATCAAAATGGAAAATTGAGTCGTGATAGATACGAGGGTAGTTCCAGAAGTATCATCTTCTGTTAAGGGGTTGTCCAAAACGAACGCAGGAAAGTAAACGCATATTAAAACAAGAAAGATTGATATTCAAATCAAGTTGGGTATTTTATTTTGAAGGTTCATTTATACCAATTATGTATGAAAAATAATATCGCTCAAATGTTCACCACGACTGGATTTACAGACGTCCACGCGATGGTCGAACGCGATGACATTTTGCAACATGGTCGGTTCGATGGCATTTATCTCGGCAATGATGTTGTTTTTGAGTTCTTGGAGGGTGGCTGGTTTGTTGACGTAGACTTTGCTTTTCAAATATCCCCATAAAAAGAAGTCCAAGGGAGTCAAATCGCACGATCTTGGTGGCCATGGCAGATTTCCTCTGAGCGAAATCACGCGATCACCGAAGAAGGACTGCAATAGATGGATATTGACGTTGGTTGTGTGGCATGTTGCACCGTCTTGTTGGAAATAAACATCGTCCATATCCATTCCTTCAAGTTGCGGCAAAAAATAGTCCTCTATCATCACGTGATATCGCTCAGAATTGACGGTAGCGGCGTCCCCGGCCGCATTTTCGAAAAAGTAAGGTCCGATGATGCCTTTTGACCACAATGCACACCACACAGTCACTTTTTGAGGATGCATCGGCTGCTCTTGATACTCACGGGGATTTTCGTTCGCCCAGATGCGGCAGTTTTGCTCGTTTACCGTTCCATTCAAAGTGAAATGCGCTTCGTCGCTGAACATGATTTTTGATGAAAAATTGGCATCGATTTGGCGGTGTTCAAGGAGCCAATCTGAGAACGTTCGGCGCGAAAAATGATCGGCCCGACGCAGCTCTTGCGTCAATTGGATCTTGTAGGCGTGTACATTCAAATCCTTGTGGAGAATGCGGAGCAAACTGGTTCACGAAATGCCCAATTCTTGGGATCGACGCGTTGTTGATTGTTTCGGATCGTCTCTCACACTCTCCTTCACAACAGCAATGTTTTCCGATGTGCGAACGCTCCTTGGCCGGCCAGAGCCTGGCAGATTTGCCACAGAACCTGTTGCCTCGAACTTACGCACCAGACGACCGATGGTTGTTTCGTTTGTGCGGTTGTTGCGACCGAAATGTTCACGAAGCGCGCGGAACGTGTTTTTTATTTTTGCACCATTTTTGTAGTGCTCTTGAATAACTTTAATGCGGTCTTCAATTGAATACGATCAATGGTAAACATTCAACTAACAAAATGACATGTCAGTGACAGAAAACAAAGATGGCGTCTATGTCAAATTGACGTTTACTTTCCTGCGTCCCTATTGGACAACCCTATATAATAAAAGTAGACAAAACCAATTGTTTCCAATAAGTATACGTCTTAAATTTAATTTAGATTGTTACATATATGATGTCGTCAGCTTATATACAGGGTGTCCTATTAGAGTTGCAGAAAAAAGTTAAATATAAAAGGGCTACAACCTAAAATTATTTTCAGCTATGTCCCATAAATTAGTGGCAATGTAGGCTTATATTTTTTAAGTGGAACACCTTATATTTCTGTTGATTTTTAGAAGGGCCTTTTCTTGGCCATTTTGCCGATGTACGGTTTCGTGGGTTTGTACAGGGTGCGTCATCTGTTACTTTTTTTTCTATTTGAAAAATCAACACGCTTTTTACGAGGTGAAATTTTTTTATTGATAAATTAAGTTTGGTTTATACCATTTATGTATGAAAAATAACATCAGTCATGTGACCACCGCGGCTTCGTTTACAGACCAACATCCGAACATCAAAATTTTCAATGACTTTTCCCAGAATAATCGGGTCTATGACCGCAATTTCAGTCCAAATATAGGTCTTGAATTGTCCGGGGACCATTCGCATACACTTTTGCTTTCAAAAATCCCCAAAGAAAATAGTCAAGAGGTGTTAAATCGGCCGATCTGGGGGGCTAACTGACATCTGACATCGAAATTTCGTGTGCAATAAGGCGATTGTTTGGCGAGATATGTGAGCCGTTGCTCCGTCTTGATGAAACCAAAGATCGTCAGCACAAATACGATCCAATTGTGGCCACAAAAAGTCTGTTAACATGCCGCGATAACGTACCCCGTTGACGGTAATGGCCTTTTCCATAGGTCGCTGGTTCAAATCCGGCTCGAAGCACCAACGTGTAAAGCACTCACTATGAGGGTTTACCGGTGAAATAACTAGACGTTCTTCGCTTTACGAAGGTTTATAACAGAAATGTAGGGTACAATACTTTGTGAATAATGTCTGTCTCTCGTCGCACCATCATCCTCAACTCTTGCGTCACCGGTTGGTAACAAAAAAACCTGTAGATTTTCGCACGGTCGGTAACGTAAGGTAACCGCCTGGCCAGTAGCAAACGGTTGATGAGTTGAAGCGCCGCTCACTAGATGGCGCGAGAAGTACGGTTTTGATCTTCTGGTGGGTGAGCTTCTTCAAAGAATGGTCCAACGATGCCACCAGCCCATAATCCGCACCAAACAGTCACTTTTTCGGGATGGAGAGGTTGTTCATGATATTGGTGTGGATTTTCAGCCCCCAGAATCTGCAATTTTGTTTATTTACGTACCCATTGAGGTGAAAATGATTTTGTATTGATGGAGTGGTCTCACTAATTCCCAATTGTTGCGAACGGTGCCTAGTCGAGGAGTAGGTTATTCTTAGCGTTTTAAAATGGTGAAAATGAGGTTCTGGTATTTCCTGCTGTGCCATCATTCTTTTTCTAATCGCCATTTACCCACTAATGATGCTACGGCTGTGTATTGCTCGCAGTAACATACTGTATTTATTTGCAGGGTCAAGCGGTAGCTCAACTAGCCAAGACCGTTCCCAACGTGACAGTCTTCGGCGTGTGCTCCAAATCCAAACACGAAGCGCTCCAAGCCTCTGGTGCTCCTGTTGACAAGCTTCTAGATCGTGCTTCTGATTACGCAGCAGAGGTTCGCAAACAGCAGCCTGAAGGTGTTGATATCGTCCTCGATTGCCTGTGCGGCGAGGTAAGCAGATACAAGACACATATTCTTTTCAATATTTAGATCTTTTTTAAAGTCTATTTCTGAACAACAAAAACACTTTTTGAAACGGGGGTTAAACCAAGTCACGATATTTATCAGAAAAATATAAAAAAATCTAAGTCGTGTCCTTTTCAAATTATAGGATTTTTTTTATATTATGACTTCGAAGTTGAGTCATTTATTTTAACAGTGAGTAGATCTGATCAAAAGAAATGTTTTTTTCCTTTACCATTTTTCTGGTAAAATTAAAGTAACAAAGTTATAGCCCTTTGGAAGTTTGAGTACCGCCCTGTCTCAATAATAATATTATGTGCTCGTGTTTGGCAACAACGGATATAATCCGCCTTATCGGTTCATCGCATCGGAAACAAAAAAGCGAAAGAATTTGGAACGATGTTTTTACAATTATTTTATTCAGTTGTATACAGTCAGTGTCAGTCGGTAACGCGTTAGTGAATAGTGGTGTCTGTTGCGTGGCTCAAACGAAATCAAAAATGGCACATGTTTACGAAAATGCTGAACTTGAGGACATGATTCTTATTTACGCGGCATGCCGGTGCTCCAAGACCGCACGATCAAATACAGGTCCGCACTGAAATACTTGTCGGGAGGATACTTTATAAAACAAGGTAACATTTTTTTTATTTTTACACACATATTTTGGTTTATCTTCCTTCAACAATCATTATCTGAAAATTAATGACTCAACTTCAAAGTCACCCTGTATATACAGACTTGATTTCTTGTACTGGCATCTATTGTCCGCCGGAATGGAAGAATATGTAATCTAATCTCGTTTGTGAATTTTTGTTTTCCTCCAAGTTCCTATTCGCATTTTAGATTCTACTTTTATCCTTATTTCACGGTTGCTTCTGAAAAGAAAACTCCCAACTTTCGATTGAACTTGACATAACTTTTTTGCGTAGGAATGCCAAAAGGGATATTCTCTGCTCAAGCCTATGGGGCGATATGTGCTCTACGGGAGCAGCAATGTAGTTACAGGGGAAACCAAGAGCTTCTTCAGCGCTGCTAGAGCGGTAAGTAGATCATACGTTCTTATTGTCCTTTTCAGCAGCCGATTATCTAGTAATATTTCAAAATTCCCCATATCAGACAGAGCCATATTTTGTTTTGAAATTGTGTTTACTTTTTTTGAAAAGATTCTTTTGATTCATGTGTCTAAAATTTCTTAAACGTCAAAAAAAAACATAACCTAACTTCACAATTGACGGCAGGTTAGACATCTAAAGAAGTCACACACGTTCCTTACTGAAAGATGCAAGATATTACGGCCTCCTTGATTTTCATAGCTTTCCTATACTTCAAAAAGGAAACACATCTTCACAATAGGAGAGCGCTGACGTTGATACGGATCAGTAGAAATCTATAAATACCCAAAGCCTTTCTTAAGGAGAGAAAATACTATGAAAATCAAGGAGACCATAAAGGCGTCCTACAATAATTTTAGGAACGGCTGACTACGGTCCTAAGAGACCTGCGTACAAAAATTGATGTAATAAATTCATTATTATTGGGCGTTCTTTTTTCTAAGACTCTTGTTTATTTTCAGTGGTGGCAAGTCGACAAGATCTCTCCCTTGAAACTGTTCGACGACAACCGCACCATTTCCGGTTTCAACTTGAGACGACTCATGTTCCAACAAAATGGAGAGGGTTTCGTCAGGGAGACCATCCAAAAAGTGTTCTCGCTATTTGAACAAGGCAAGGTCAAGCCGGTGCTCGATACTACATGGGCTCTAGAAGACGTAAGTTCAGTGGTAATCTATCTAATTTAAAAGAGTATTTTTTAGACCATAATGGTTACTTATGGCGACGGGCACCCGCAGGGGGTGCCAGCATGATCCTGCAGAATATCCAATGAATGAGGATTTAATTACGTAAAAAGTTATAACCTCCATTGAAATCCTACAAACATTATCATATTTTTTCACATTAAAAGGTATACACATCTCTGGATGGCGAAATTTTCAGTTACATGAATCAGTTAAAATCTTAATTTAATTACTATTACCAAAAACTCTAATAATTTCAATATTCTATTCTGATGAATAAAAAATAATTCCAGAAAAATTAAGGGATTCCCGTATACAATTTTCTTTGCCCTAAATTTTAGGTTAGGAATAAGACATCGAGATGTGGTTTTCACGAGCATGTTTAGACATGATTTAGCTACTTTTTTATAAAAGAAAATCATACTAATGCATTTAATTTTTTGAGAAAATTAACCATTTCTGTTGGAATGAAATATTATTACATTTCTAGCTCAAGAACAGCTTTTTTCAACTAGCCCAAGTTTGTTAAAATCGGCTCAGCTGTTTCCAAGATACTGGGTGTTTTTTACGGAAACATTTGACGATTATCCTCGACTGTGAAGATCAGGTATTTTTTTGTCAACGGAATTCACAGAAACATCACTTTTTTAGATTCAAGATTGCAGTTACTCCCACTAGCTTCCATTTTAGAAACTTGAGAATATTTTCCAGGCTTTTCTCTTGGCCGTTCTAGTAAGAACTTTGTCGCAAGTCTCTGCGACGGATAGGTTCCCGGAACAGTACCTCGCGTTCTTAGTTGACCACCCTGTACTAAATTTGAGCCCCTACGTTTGGGACTACTAGTTCTGAAGGGAAGAAAGCTGAGTTTGCGATGCTCGAGAGTGTTCAGACCTGTTTCTTTTCAGGTGGCTGAAGCTATGCAGAAGATGCACGATCGTAAGAACATCGGCAAGATCATCCTGGATCCGAGCTTGGAACCGAAACCGAAACCGGCCACCCCAGCGAAGGGTAAGAACAAGGAAGACAAGAAGAAACAGGCTTCCGAAGAAAAGAAGGACTCCGAGGAGAAGAAAGAGGAAGAAAAGAAGGAAGAGAAAAAGGAGGAGAAAAAAGAGGAGAAGAAAGAGGAAGCTACTGCCAACGGCGAATCAGGAGATAGCGCAAAGTAATAAGAACGGCTTTGTGCGTTATTTAGGTTATGTTATATGTTGGTGTTGCGTGGCAATTCAGTGGATCATTTTTTGTGCCATTTGAAAAATTAGCCCCTTGACCGTATATGGAATAAGGGCTATTATCCATCGAAATTGTCCGAAATTTTACTGAATTGTCACGAATATTTTAATTTACTTGTATTTTGAAACCGTACGGTCCTAACGACACTTTGAGCATACGTTTTGAATCAGACGTTATTGAGAAATGTTTGGCTTATAACGAATTTCGTACCATATATTGCATTTTTATACTTATTTTTTTAAAACGTATCTGCGATTTTGTATACAGATCTCAACGCATATATCGACCATACATTCTGAGCTGTGTTATTTTTATAAAATCTACAGTGTGGTGACGGTTTTAGGGACCTAACATTTCGTCTATCAGTATTTAAGCGGTAATTTAGAACGTTTTGATATACACTGAAATTCATTTACGTCTTTTGGCGCCACATTCGACGTGTACGAGAGAGAGAGAAAGTGCAACGCCATGCAATACGTGTGTTAAAAAGAGAGCGTCACAAAACATTTACACTGAAGAAGGTAAGTCATGTGTTATCCATAGGATGATTTGACTTATGTCATTGTCAAGGCGCCATTTTTTTTACGAGGTTGTGCATGGAGCCACATGCAACGTTGCCAGCTCTTCGCGTAAATCTGAGGATGTAATTTGTATTGGAAGATTTCATAACGTCGTGTGTTAGTAACAATCATCCACATCGCCTGCCGATATTTGGGGGAGGGTTCGATTTCGATGCGGCGTTGTCAAGTTGTCAATTTGGAGACGAATTTGCAAAATGTTGCCATACTGTAGCGTAAGTACGAGGTGTCCCACTATAAATTGACCGCCTCTCAACTTTTTAGCATGAATTTTGAGAAAAAAAAGTTATATACAAGACTTTTAGAGCCTAATATAAAGTTTTTGCGGCAATGTCTTTTTTATATACCGGGTGTCACAGAAAAGTGCTATCGAATTCCTTTTTTTTTTTAAAGGTACACCCTGTATATGTTTCAAGTTTTCGACCAATCTAGTGATAATAAGTATGATAAACTATCTATATTTGTTATCAGAAAAAAGCGACTATCATTGTCACTAAAAATGTACAGGGTATTTGTTCCATTTGAATTCTACTTTTTCGGGATACCTTGTATATAAAAACATAAGTTAGAGGGGATCAATTTATAGCGGGACACCCTGTACCTAATAGTATACATATAGAGGATTAGTCAAAACATTTTGAGACCAATGATTTTACTTATATTTTTTTACACTGTTTCGTAATTTTCGTCCCTGTCTTTGCGTTTCATATTTCTAATGGTGCTTTTTCGTGTATCGTGTATCTAATGATTCCAATCTAGCTTATTTTTGTACTATAACGGCACATATCTGTGTGTATCAGACCAAAAACATCAAACGTGGTAATTAGGTAGCGTTTGAAGACAGAACGAAAAACATATTTTTCCATAATTAGTTTTTTCACTCAATAGTTCAATCAAGGACAAATAAGTAGTTTGGATGAATCTTCGCCCTTGTATTTTTGCTATTGCTATTTTTTAACATTTGGAAGCATATCAACTTTTCTGATGAAAATTTTACACTCACTTTTCTATCAGACGCGACCGGTGCTGTCAAAAACACAGACCGACAGGATTTTTTAGCCAGAAACGACAGATATTTGATGCCCTGAATCTGAATCCGATTATTGCGTATATTCGAGGTTATGCAAAAAAAAATCATAGATATCATCAAGTCAAATGCCTGAGTTTTTTAAATATCTCTTTTTTTTCGCTGAGATATGACACTTTAAATTTATCATTTGTTTTGAGGGGCTTAAATGATGACCTTGACCGTCATATTGAAGAACATTTCAAGGTCAAGCGAACGTTTTTAACATCGGAATTGAAAAGAGAAGGAAGTTTTAAGTCAAAATATGGCATCACCATGACCTTGTCTATTTCCTTCAAGGGCATCTCAAGGTCTAATCAGTTGCGAGGGATTCATTTTTTCACTGGAAATATGAGTAGAAAACTTTACGTCTGAATGAGGATTTTCTTTGTAAATTTCGACAATTTATATGGCCGAGGTCATGGTCAAGGTCACCTTTGGGTGATCCCACAAACCTCATAACCGTGAAGATCAAGTTCGGAATTGATGACCCTAAGCATGAAATTGAGGGTCGTTTCAAGGTCAAGTGAACGTTTTCAGATAGATCCGTCAAGTGTGACCTTGATGATGACCTTCAAGGTCAAGTCAACATTTCCATAGGATTTTTTATACCGAAAATGGGAAGTGCAAAACTGACAGGTTTATGTGACAATTTTGTTTTGACCTTGAATATTATGGCCAATTTCACTGATGGGTGATCCCCGCAACTGTGCTGTCGAACTTTTTGGCAAATTGTGTTCGATGCCTTGATTTGATCTTATGCCCACAACCCCTCCTACACTGTCAAGGCCGAGTTTAACGTTCTTACTTTCGAGTGAACAACTTTTTTAACGAAGAAATACTTTCTTCTGATAGAAGCTAAGCTTTGTAGATACAGTCAAACATAGTAAAGTTCAAAAAATGAAAACTTTGAAGTACCATATCTCAGCGAAATAAAAAGATATTCAAGTAAGCTCAACCGCATTTGAAAGGGCAAAGCTTGTATTTTGAGATTTTGGGAAAAACCCACTTTCCACATAACCTTGAATACAAAAATCGCTCAAGGTTAGGACATCTCGGAAAGTAGACCCGGCTGAGAGTTTTGGGATTCCGATTGAGGTTATCAAAAATCTTATAGAAAGTATACTTTGGTTTCTGGCTCATGTTTGTCGGTCTGTGAAATCGATTCTTTGCTCACAAGTCGAATATTTAAGCCACTCCCGTAGCTAGACGTAATTTTAAGGAAACGCTCTTCGCAGACGCCTAAAAATGTGTTAAGAGTGATTGTAAATTTTTTTGTGGAGTATATTTTAATATAAGGAGTATGTAAACTTCTATGATGCTGTATTTGTTAAAGCTGCAATTTATAATCTTACAGTTACGCTATAAAAAATACCTATATTAGTTGCTATTAATTGCTTAAATATAATATATATGTACATGTAAGACTGATGTGTTAACGCTATTGCATATTGTTTGGATGCCTGTATTATAAATCTGTATAATTCTAAGTTGTTTCATTTATTTTCACGCCACTTCCTATCAGTTCCTCCTTGCCACAAACGAAATAGTACATTAGATACCAAGGGCGGATCCAGAATGACACGCATATTTTGATGGCGCCATTGTTTGATTATGCGATGTTAAAACTTAAGCGACGATATGTGAAATTTATTCAAGAAAAACCTATTTCCAACGACGTCTCCTTCAGGGCCTGTTTCCCCGGAATCAAAAGGTACTTCACAGATCGTCCGGAAAATGCGTATAAAAGTGGAGTAATAACTTCATTTTACAATTGAAGGGTCGGCCGGAACAACGATGTATATAACATTTTTCTATAAAATAAGATTTCCGTCAAACAACGTAGTATGTGCCTATTGGGACCCATTGACAACAAAAACCCATCTGTTTACTCGCATCAATCACTGTGACGCGAATTTGTAAAGAGCGCCATTTCAGTCTTCCGCGTAACAACGTTGTATGTACGTAAACAAAAAGAATATCTATCGTTTATGAACCATTCCAGTGGGTCGACGTCATTGCTAAAGCCAAAGTTAAAAATTCGTTTAAAGTTGTCTGGATGCACCAAGCCTTCTTTGAGAATTTAACAGTTTTGGAATATTGTATATGGAAATACCCCAAACGTAAAATTACACAAGGATTGTGGCTGCAACTTA